CATCCATCCATCCATCCATCCATCCATCTATTTGTCCATCCGTTTTGTCATCCTTTCATCCATTCATTCATCCTTTCATTCACTACTTTGAAAATTCATTCATTCATTTAAACAGAATTCATTCATTTATTCGTTCGTTTTTGATTGATTGAATTACTCCTTCATTCATTCACTTTTTCATTCATTCATTTTTTCATCCATCCATCACGTCTCCTTAATAATAATTCTCCATCCCCCCAACAAGATGTTATTGAAGATGTTGACGGCAAACACATTAAGAGTGGTGGTAGTGGTGGCGTCAGTGGAAGTGGCGGTCGTAGTAGCCGTGGTGGCGGCTTTAGTGGCGTCAGTGGTAGTGCTGATACCCTCGTCGATCCTGTTGTCGTCGTCGTCCATGGAAATGATCACGAAGACGATTTCGATGACAACAACATCCACAACAACAACAACAACATCCACAACAACAACAACAACAACATCAACAACAACAACAAACCCATCAACAACAATATCAACAACAACAACAAGAGCAACAACATTATCAAAAATAGCAATCACAACAACAGTTTTAACACCACCACCACCAACAACAATACCGACAAAAATTTTATCATCACCAACACCACCACCAACAACAACAACAGCATCAATAATAATTTCAACAACAACAATAAAAACAACAACAACAACGATGACGTCACGGAAAAGCGCGCCAAACGATCTATTTTTAGCAACAACAACAACGACAACAACAACCATGACGTCACGGAAAAGCGCGCCAAACGATCTATTTTTAGCAACAACAACAACGACAACAACAACCATGACGTCACGGAAAAGCGCGCCAAACGATCTATTTTTAGCAACAACAACAACGACAACAACAACCATGACGTCACGGAAAAGCGCGCCAAACGATCTATTTTTAGCACGGCTGACATGGGTGAGAAACTGGCTATGTACGTCATCATCGGTGTCCTCATAGCCATAGTCATCATCCTGTCATATTTCGTCATCAAGAAATATCTCTGCTGAAGATGATGATGATGAAAATGATGACGATGGTGGTGGTGATGATGGTGCTGGTGAAGAAATATCTCTGCTGAAGATGATGATGATGACGATGGTTGGGGTGATGATGGTGGTGATGATGGTGCTGATGATGATGATGGTGGTGGTGGTTTTGGTGATGATGATGATGGTGCTGATGATGATGATGATGATGGTGGTGGATCTTTTAATTAAAGACCTATTAGTTGTCATTATTAAATAACTCGTTTCTTAAAAATTATCTTTTTATTAAGTCAATCAATCAATCAATTAAATCAATCAATCAATCAATTAATCAATCAATCAATCAACCATTCAATCACTCGATCGATCGATCAAATCCAACCAATCAATCAGTCAAAATTATTTTCGTCCTGTGACATTCATAATAAAAAAGTTGAATAAAGTGTTATTATTATTATTATTATTATTATGATTACCGGTACTACTACTACTACGATTATAGTCATAATTATCTGACTCAGAAGATAGACAAAAAAATAAAAAGAATGAATGAATGAAAACTGAACGAACGATCGAACGTAAAATGAACAAACAAACAAAACGAACGAACGAACGATTTGATGTTCAAACAAATAGATAATGAACGAACGAACGAACGAATGAATGAACAAATAAATGAACGAACGAACGAATGAATGAACGATTGAATGATGCAACGAACGGCAAAATGAATGAATGAACGAACGAATGAAAGGAAGGAAGGAAGGAACCAAAACGATATTGAAACGCAAGTTACAAATCGAATGAGCACTTTAAATATCTCGCATAAGAAGAAGAACAGACACGGCAAGTCAAAACGTTAAAACCACTTTAAGCTACCTTTTCCACAAAATTTCAAATTCAAATGGGCCCCATTCAAGATGTTATGAACGCATTGTTGCGATAGTTAGTGTTGCATTTTAAAGCCTGTGACAGCCTGATGTGAACAGCCATCAATGCTGAACTGAACTGAGCTCTTACAATGACAGCCAATTACAATTACAATGAATGACTTGCCTACTAGCAAGCACTTCTTTTTTTATTTTTTTTGAAAACGTCTTCTCGAGGATATATATCACCCCAGCATTATTTACAAATCGTTCATTTTGATAACTCCAATCTGTTGAACTTTTGAGACAATTGATATTAATTAAACATGAGACTGCCGTCTCTATCTGAAAATACATTAATTTTTTTCAATTTGGTGAATCTTATTGCAAATTTACCAAGAAGTGAAGGGACACTTGCTAATTTGGCCTTTGGGAAACGTGTTCTATGTGTTAATCACCCAGAGCACGTCTGTTCGAATGCAGTCGATGGAGATTTAAATAACATTGCTGCTACTGAACGTGAGTCCAACTGGATGGTCTTTGATTTGGGAGGATTGTACAGAGTGGAACATATTGTTCTTTATAATATTGCCCAAGGTATTCCTTTGGGAGACGGTACTTGAAACTTATCTAAATTATTCGTTACTCATATTCATTAAAACAAATCCTTCGTTAAAGATATTCTAGATTTAGCAATATATTTACGTTGTCCAAATGCTTAAATTTGAATCCATGAATTTGAATCCATGAATTTCAAATACATACTAGCTCTGGTGATGAGCAGATTCTTAGTTGGATTGTTGTTGGATTATGTTGTTGGAACTTCACCAACCATCAACACCAAATGTGGAAGATATCCACGTTACACTCTTCCTGGTGAGGTTTGCAGACTCAACTGCTCGCTGCCATTTCAAAAATCCAGATTTGTTGTGTTGTTCGCTGATTTTTTAGATCGAACTGTTTATGTGGCAGAATTTCAAATATTTGGAGACAAAACAAGTAAGTAAAATATAGACCTTGATTACAATTTCAACAAAGTTAGATTGAAATTTTTTCAAAATTAGTCAGTTATTCTGATCGATTCATCGGTTGTTATAAGAACTTCCCGAGCGGAGATAGTCGCGGCAGTGTTCTTCTTCTTCACCAATGTTTAGATCACTGCGGTGGTTATAACTTCTTATATGCTGGATTAGTCGTAAGTTCACGAACGACTGGTTTCTGATTTAAAATTAAATAAAATATTAATTTGGATCAAGACAGCACTCAGTACTTTTAAAAGCTCATCTGTCGCTAAATAATTGTTGCCAAATCTGGTTTTGCTTTTTTTGGTCCTTTTCTCTGGAACTCTCAACCTCCTTCTCTGACTACTTCTCCATCATTTGCGAAGTTCAGAGCGGATCTCAAGACCTGTTTTCAAAATTCATTGAGGAGCGCTGTTGAACATCGCGGAAATAGCGCTTTATAAGCTAATTGATTGATTGATTGATTGATTAATTGATTGATTGATTGATTAATTGATTGATTGATTGATTGATTGATTGATTGATTGATTGATTGATTTATTGATTGTAAAAATAACTCTAGAGTGGTGAAAATTGTTACTGTGGAGGTAAGCTAGGCGAACTCGTCTCTTCCAGTCTCTGTGGTGTCCCATGTTCAAGTGATGACCATTTCTGCGGCTCTACTGGCTATTTTGCCGTCTATACTGGTCAGTGAAATTTGCTAGTGTTGACTTTTTAAAAAATTGTAAAATAGTTTTTTAGGGGTAGGAGTAATTTTTAATTTTAGCCTCGGCATGTGTAGGACCTACAAGTCTGGACCAAATTGCATGCAACAGAAGAGGTCAGCGATGTTTTACAATCCAGTTACCTTTTTAAAATTTTATTTCTTTGATATCATTCCTAAACTTGAATTCCAACTTTTCCATCTGCTCTTCTCCCAGACTGTTCAGTTAAGAACGGAATGTGTGGAGTACATACGTGCATGGCAAATCTCATTGGGCCGACGTACATATCTGAATGCCTCTGCAGTGTTGGTTACGGTAAAAACTACTACAATGATGATTGCAGAGGTGAGATGTGATTTTCTGTTTTTCCAATTCCATCTCTTCAATGTCTTGCTTTTGCACTGGGTTTGCCTGATAAATTTATTTTTCTTTGAGTTTGTTGGTTTCAAATGATACGTCCGTTATTTTTCTTTGTTTAAGAACACTAGATTGATTGATTGATTGATTGATTGATTGATTGTTTAATTGATTGATTGATTGATTGATTGTTTAATTGATTGATTGATTGATTGATTGATTGATTGATTGATTGATTGATTGATTGATTGATTGATTGATTGTTTTATTGCTTCGTGAAACTTTTTTCAAAAATGCTATTCCTGAAAATGAAAGCTTCCGACCGAATCAAACAAAACCTATGTTAATTTATTCATACATTTCAATTTTTTTTAAATTATTAATTGATGTGATTATTAAAGATATCGACGAATGTTCACTGAATGCCAACTTATGTCCAGCCAACATTTCGACTTGTGTGAATACAGCTGGCTCTTATAATTGCATCTGCTCAGATGGCTATGAAAAAAGCGGTCAGCTAAACTGCACAAGCAAAGGTTAACCTCAGTAAATATATTTATTTTATACAATTTTAAGAAATATTTTCAATATTATTATCAAATCTTTCAAATTTTTTGAGAAAAACCAACAACACACACGAACGCATAACGTTTGAGAGGTGGTGAAGATCTCTTTCCATTGGAATCTAGTGGCTGCAATAGAAAGACCAGGCGCTTAGCTATTACTTACCTCGTCTTAAATTCAAATATTGTATAAATTTTGTTATTTAAAAAGCGCTTACTGTGTTTGAGATGTTGTGTGTGTGTGTGTGTGTGTGTGTGTGTGTGTGTGTGTGTGTGTGTGTGTGTTGTTGTTGTTGTTGTTGTGGCCTTTACCTGGTTTTTTCTTTTCCATCATAACACATCAAAGATATGAATGAGAGATTTAGATAGAAACTTTACTCTTTCAACATAATAGAACATTTAAAATCTGAATCAGAATTAAAAAAAGAACCTCTGGCTGTAGTTAGCACGCAAATAGATGCAGCTGCAATAATTGGAAGTGTGGTCGGAACGTCTGTGGCTCTTCTGCTCGTCGCTGTAATCGCTGCTGCGATTTATTTTTACCAGATTAAAAAAACTAAGCGACGAACGTTAGTTTTTGTGTGAATGATGACAATTTTCATGACCATATGTGAATGACAAATCAAATAATTTCCAGGATAAACTCGACTACTGACGAAGTAAAGCCAGGTTAGTGAAGCCAATACGTACCGTACATCTAAGATTGCATTGAATTTAGAAATTTTAATTGATAATCAAATTGAAAATTGGGACACTCGCTGATTTAAATTAACTCAAAAACATTCGCTGGCATCGAGTTTTTCCATTTCAGGAAAATTTATTTCCAAATTTACGACAAAATCTACTCGTCAAAAGTCTGATGGCGGCTCTAGCAAGGTTCACATTGAAAAGTTGGAAAATTATTACAAAACTCTAACTCCTCAAGGCGTGCGCGACCAATTCAAAGTAAATTAATTCTCATTTTTTAAGAAAAATTAAAAAAAACTCAAAAACTTTATAAATCGCTTTTTACCAGAACATTCCCCTTAGAAATAACTCAAACTGCTCTTATGCCGAAAAACCAGAGCTCAGAAGTAAGAACAGAGACAAAGACGCGCTGCCATGTAAGACAGGGATTATGATTTCTTGCTAATTTGCCAATTTCATTTTTTAATTATTTCCACTTTATCCTTTAGTTGATCACAACAGAGTCATCTTGAAGGTTATAAACGAGCAAGTTTTCTCTGACTATATCAATGCCTGCATTGTACCGGTATCTTTTGCCATTCGTTTGTTTATTGATTGAATGATTGACTGATTGATTAATGGATTGATTTATTGATTGATTGACTAATTGATTGATTGATTGACTGATTGATTGACTAATTGATCGATCTATCATTTGATTGATTGATTGACTGATTGGTTGATTGATTGATCGATCGATCGATCATTTGATTGATTGATTGACTGATTGGTTGATTGATTGATCGATCGATCAATCATTTGATTGATTTAATAGAATCAAAATTAACATCAACCAAACTTTTTATTTTTAGAGTTACCGGCCTAAGAAATATACATTTATCACCGCTCAAAGTAACCTTTACCCGATCAATCACTATATTTACTAACTTAATTAATCCTAATTAAGTTTAGCTTGAGATAAAAAGTTTTGTTCCATAAATAAATAAATGAATGAATGAATGAATAAATGAATGAATGAATTTTTAATGAGTTTTAACTGGCGTAATTATACCATTCATTTAGGTCCCTATCGAAAGACAGCCCATGACTTCTGGCGTATGGTCAGCGAGAAAGATGCCTGCCTCGTCGTCGAGTTAAACTTTCCGAAAGAAATACACCAAGTCGTCAAACTTTTAAATAATAATAATTATAATTAGTGATAATTAGTAATAAATAATTAATTAATGATTATGAGTATTAATAAGTTATAATATATTGGGTACAAATCTCTGAAGTAGGTGCCTATTGGAGATTGACCTTTAACCCTTAGCCTATTACTATTAATTATTACCCCTACGATATTATTAAGGATTAATTAAATTAATTTTTAAAATTAGTTCAAAAATTTTTCATCTATTTAGAAATCTTCCAAAAATCACCTGCCCGAAGCAATTGGCGACGGACTGCAATTTAAAAAGAACATCTCCGTGAAATGCGTTAGCGTCGAGAAATGGCTGAATTATGAAATCAGGAAAATTTACATCAAAATGGTGTGTTAACTCCCATAAAATCGTCATTCTATTCCACGTTGAGTCGGCCAGGCTTAAAAATGAAATTAATTTTCTTTCCTCAAAGGATTCTCAAAAACTTCTAGTTACCCACATGCGTTACTCCGGCTGGCCAGACGAAGGTGTGCCCGCCAATGTTGGAAGTGTACTAAACTTCCATCACCATGTTAAGTCTGTTCTCCAAGCGAAAAGAAGCAAAAATTTACCCAACATTGTTGTCCAATGCCAGTTAGTAGAGAGTATATATTAGATTCACTCAGACAAACAAATATCTACACTAACAAAAAAAGGTGAGGATTTCCGACTTGCTCTCGTGTGTACTAACAAAAAACTAAACAAATTTCAGATAGTTTAACAAACGATATCTTCTTAACTATACACCCTTTTTTAGCTGTGAATCCACGGCTAGCAGTCGAACTCGGTCACTGCAGCACGCAGCAGTACCAGACATCTTAACCACTACACTATCATCTATTGCCAGTATCATCTATTGTAACAGAACAGGTGTGGGCGCCTCGGCTATTTTCATCGGTCTGGACTACTTGATTGAGCAATGCGAAGATAAGAAAGTAGTTGATTTGCCACAATGTTTGAGGTATCTAAGATCGCACAGAAATCACATGATACGGACTGAGGTGACGATTACCAACCTAATGAATATTTTTATAACACTACTTTATAACACTTATATATATACATATATATATATATTGAGTTTGTTATAAATAATAATGGAGACACTTTTATTATTACGTCCGAAACATGGAATGATGAATTTAATCATAAAACTAAAAGTATATATGGATAAAATAACATAAATAAAATACGTTAAAATAAAATAAAATCTTGTCTGGAACAAGTGCAGTAATATAAATTATTTAAATATAATAATATCTAATATATTTAATATAATAATATAATTTAATATAATATTAATAATAATGAAGAGTAAAACCACTAAATTAATTTCAAATAAATTAATGAATAAATTGGTCCCAGAAAGAATATGACTTCCTATACAGAGCCATGATAGCCTACAGCAACCTCGGACATACAACATGTTTCTCCCTTATGGATGATTCTTTCGCCAAATTTTTGAACGACGAATTGTTCGATAAAAGCTTGGAGAAACAACTCAAAGTAACTAATTTTCATATCCCATCTTCACCTAAGATCTAACTCAAGTACAATTTTCATCATCCTCTAAGATTTAAACACGCACAACTTAACTGACACCAACGCCAAAATTCTTTCCAGATGATCCTCTCAAACAGTAAAACTTCCAACAACTTGGGTTATTAGAATAAGTTTTTGGAAACAAATTTTGCATTTTAATGTCAACCTTTACTTAAAATTACAGAAAATAGAGCCAGGAGGTTGGACGGCTTTGTCTCCTACCCGGTTACGAAATTTTGTTATTACTTTTTTAAACTGGAAGTCTCACCTTAACACTTGAAACCTAACACAATTTCAAAATTGTAGCAGGGAAGGAAAATAATTTCATTTCAAAATGATATTTCTCAACAGTGCTTCAACAAAGTGAACGCATTCTTAACTGGCAAAATAAGTAAAAGCATCAAAGGCGAGCTCTTCTATAAAGACGTCTTAGGCGATGATGGCTCCGTTATTGTAGTTGTGAATTCGAAACCAGCCAACAAGGTTTGCAGTTTCATTTAGATTCATAATTTTTAGAAGAACAAAAACCAAAAATTCTTATTAATAACGAATGGTGTAATGCTGGGATGGGCAAACTTTTTTGCTGTGAGGGCCGCATTGAGAACTTTTTTTACCTTTGAAGGGCCGCACATGTACTTAAATAGCGAATTTTTTTGACCCAAGAGAGAATTTTTTAAGGTTTTTGGTTCCTTTTTTGGTCATAATGTCTGGCTGACGCTGACGACCATTTTTTGGCAAACAAGGCCTCGTAGTCCGCACAAAATAGCTCTCGCAGGCGGCCCACAGACCGTAGTTTGCCCACCCCTTGTGTAATGGTCAAAGTGCTTGACATTGCTGTTGCTGTTTGTTGGTGATGACACCCGTGAAATGAGTTACATAGTGAGGAGAGAACTGTTAGAACTGTCCAAAATTAAATTAATTACAAATTAAATTTTCGAAAAATTAAAATACCTTTAATGAAAATTGTATAAAAGATGGATTTCCGTAGAAAAATATCTTATACAAACTTTATTTTTCGCGGCAGAGCGCGCTGAAATTGTTAATTCCAGAACCTGGTAGGAAGATGACGTTCCGGGATATCGTCTTGGAAAACAGTGAAGACGCCAGCCACGTTTATCAGACGGCCAGTAGCCTCAGGACCACCTTATTGACCCTAACAAAGAATGAAGACAGAATAAATTATGATAATGACGCTGACGACGAAATAAATCGTGATAATAAGGAAGCAGGTGGCGATGTTTACGATAAACTATCTAACTATGGCCGGCGAGTTAAAGTGCATTTTTTGACATCTACCGATGAAATTCAATCTCTTTACAAGATGCTGAAAGAAGATGTTAAAAATTTCAAATTGCCAGCAATTCCTTTGCTCTTCAGGTGCGTAATTCCATGTATGTTAAGTTTTATAAGATATATTAAGTAAAGTATTATGTATAAGTCTCAATCTAAATTATTTCCTAAGTACTTATCAGATATAATAATTGAAGCTAAACGCTTCGGTTTACGATCGTCTTCTTGTTCTCGCTTCTTCTTAACTCGTGTTAAACACTCTTTTGCTAAATCTGCTTTTGCTTTTTCTGGCCCTTTTCTCTGGAACTCTCTACCAACTTCTCTGGCTACTTCTCCATCACTTACGAAATTACGAGTTTGCAAAATTCATTGAGGAGCACTGTTGAACATTGCGGAAATACCGCTTTACAAGTTAATTGATTGATTGAATTGATTGATTGAAAGTCATCAACCAATACTAGAAATATTTTGCCTTTTCACAAATATTTTTTCAGAAACTCTGAAGATTTGGAAGTGAATGTGGTCCTGGTGATGTTGAGCCTGTTGGAGATGCTGGATTCCTGCAAGCATGTGGATATATACCAGACGGTTCTTCAATTACAATCACGCTACAACAACAACAACAACAACAACAACATCAACGACATCAACATCTACAACATCGTTCCAGAGACAACAGACAATAATGACGATGTCTTCATAACTATAAATCAGTACAAACTCATTCACAATATTGTTAAAAAGATTGTTATTGACAATGACGGATCCAGACAACTTTGACGGAGGGGTCCAACTTTGACAAGGGGGGCAACTATGATGTAGGGGGGCCAAAACTCGATGTTTTTTGAGGGTACTTAAAATAGGTAGGTAGTGACTTTTGGCCCACCTAAATCTCCAATAATTATTATTGATGATTGATGGTTGTGTGGGAAGATAATTATAGAAATCGAAGTGGGCGTGGCCAAACATTACTTGTAAATAGTGCGAGATGAATAGCTAAATGATACTAGTGAATTTATAAAGTTCCAAACTGTGTTAACGAAATTATATTATTTTTAAACTACAAAAAGAGATAAAGAAAATAAAAGAATTACATATTTAAGAATAAATTTCTAAATATCTAATGTCTAAATTTCAAAATATTTAATTTTGTATTTAATTTAATACTATTATAATTTATAATATATATAAATTATAATATATAATTTATATTTAATACTAAAATTTTTTAAATATCTAAATATTTAAGAAACAATGCAGGGATTTAGTGCAATAATCTAAAATTATAACTGCGAGGAAACTTGTGTTCAAGTAGATAGAATGGAAATTAATTTGGAAAGCAACATCAACATTACCCAATGATCTACCGGTCGTTCAGCAATCAGTTGTGTAGAGACAAATTTGGTTTAGTTACAAAATGTTGAATGTTATAGTAATGGTAACTTTTAATTTTTCTAGCGGTCTATGTGTAACCACTGGAATCAAATTTCTTCAATTTTCACATAAACACGAAACAAAGCACACATGTGCATCGTTGATTGGGATTTCTTTTGCGTTTGAATCCGAGCATTGCAACACGACGACCGGACACCTTGCCACTACACCATCACTCTATTTAATCCTATACAAGTCTATATAACTCTATATAACTTTATATAACCATATATAACTTTATATAACCATATATAACTCTATATAACTATATAACTCTATATAACTTTATAAAACTATATAACTCTATGTGTCCACATATAACTCTATACAACTCTATACAATTTTATATAACCTATAAATTTTATATATGTGAAAATGATTGGTATGGGGTGATAAAGTTAAAAAAACTGCTGAAATATGTTTCAAACAACGACAATGTTTGAGTTTCTGGTCAACGAATTGTTCGATTTGTTGTATGCTTAAGTAAGATACTGTCATAACATGGCCCTGGTTATGGTTGCTTTTACAAGTTTAGCAGAAGTATTGAAAATCAGATGATAATTTTTACGCTAATGTTATAATTTTCAACAAAAACAGTAAAAAACATTATCATTCTAAACAAAAATTTTAATATTACAACACATATAACAGAGGGAAAAATAAGAATGATTGGCAATTAACTGCGCGGGGATGACAATGACATTGTTAATGACATTTTGAATTTTATCATTCGTTAAAGCGTCATAAGTTTCTATCCAAAAACAAATTCATATTGAAAGACGCGGAGAAGTTTTGCGTGCGAACTGCAAGCAAATTAGCGATCAGGCCCGAGGAAAAGTTTATCACGGAGAATTCTACAGGCGGTCTGCGTGATTGAATTAACGATAATCTTCCGAGAAAAGAATAATGAAGATGTACGGCCAAGAAACCTCTGACGAGAGAAGGGATTGGTTTTATTCCGTGATTTACCTGTCGATTAGTTACTGTGCTGCATTCTAACGATTTAAACGATTGAATAAACGAGTGATTGATCACTGCAATACACATACAAGTGATTGCCAGCACTGTTTTCTTTCTGATAAAGTTTATCTGAAATAGGTTTGTTCAGAAGTCAGGAATAATTACCCTAAAAATAACTGTACCCTACAAGTTCAAGGGGTCGGTTATAACAATATCAATAAATTGTAGGATTATATCAATACAATATCAATAAATTGTAGGTCACAAGATTCAAATTTTAATTAATTCATAAATAATTCACTTAAATTGCCTACACGAGACTCAAATAGTTAATTTTAATCATTGAAATTTTCATTTGTTACTTCTTGAATTTCAATTTTCAATCGCAGATAAAGATGACTCAGACGATGTAAGAACGATTTTTGTAGTTTTATGAAAAAAAATTTTATACATAAAAAACATGAATGCAATTCAAATTTTATCGTTTTGCATGTTTTGGTTACTTTGTAAATTTATAACTAAGCCAGACGTGACTCTACTCTACTTTACTTGATAAAGTTTATTTGAATTGAATACTTTCCAAATGAATTTTAGTAATTACCGCCGTTGAATTCTTCACTTTATTCCTTTATTGAATCAATTTTGAAGCTTCTCTAAGAACACCTTAGTCAGGCTCTATCCATTGTTAAATTTTTATCGTTCATTCATTTTGAAATGTAGTCGAAGTCGCAGTATGACACGCGTCTGAAGAGAGCGTTCAAAGACAGGAGCCACACACACGGGAAAGTCATCAGAAGCTTCGTGAAGAAGGAACTCGCTGACGGACAAATCCAAAAGTGAATTTATAGAAGGATGAGCTAGAATAAAGAAATGACATGTTTCTTTGTTAGATGGTTCAAAAAATTAACTTCGGAATTACAATTTTTACCGAATTTATTCCTAAAAGCTTCAAAGGAGAACTATGTTTAAGTGGCGTAATTACATTTATAACAAATGTGGACTGATTTTGAATTTTTTTCAAAACTTTCTGAATAAAACTTGGAAAGAATTCTTTCGGTTGCTTTTTGGCGTGATGTTTATAAACGTCTTTGGGCACCTCTGTGCATAAAGTGCTATATAAATGTTTCTATAATAACAATAATAATATTATTATTAATTATTGTTAATAATAATATTCATAATTATTATTATTACTGTGAATACATGCAAGTTAGAGTAGAGGCTGATAAAGAGTACCAATCTAAGCAAAGAAGAACCTTTTGGTTCCGTGCTTCCAGAAGCCTTCATTGAATTAAGTGCGGTGTCACGTGAGGGGTGAGCTTTTTATCCAAGGTCAAAGGTCAGGTCATGACTGCATTGAACGGGTGTGGACCGCCACTGCCGGATGTTCCGGTCGGATTGCTGTGACGCCACCAAAGATATTTTACTGTCAAAATATAATTTATATTTGAAATATAATATTATCGCCGGTGTTAGTTGTTCTGGTTGCTGTGGTAGTAGTCGTACGAACAAATTATGAAAGACGAACGAACGAACGATCGGATTTGAAAGAACAAACTAACGAACGAACGGATGAACAAACGAACGAACAAATCAAAAAACGACAAACGAATAGAAGAAAGTACATCACAAAAACATTTAATACCATATCTTATTGTACAATAATATAAACAAAACACCACATAAATACATCATTTCTATATATATATATATATATATATATATATATATATATATATATATATAACCGTATAATACAATTTTTCATAATATTGTAATATTATTATGTTCATTTACCATATGAAAAAAAGTTAAATAGACATCAAGAGAGGTCATGGCATGATTGGATCAATTCCTTTAAATATTAAGCAAAAGTAGATTGATGGGTGAATTAATTTATTGATTTACTATTTGATGAATGAATGAATGAATGAATGAATAAGTGAATCAGTGAATGAATGAATGAACGAATGAATCAGTGAATGAATGAATGAATGAATGAATGAATGAACGAATGAATCAGTGAATGAATGAATGAATCAATCAATGAATGAAAAAAAAAATTTATAAACAAACTCAAGATTGAATAGAGAATGACTAATTTAAAAAACAACTTAACGGATATATATTATTATTATTATTATTATTATTCGAAAATTTGTATAGCGCCAATTACAAACAAAATGTTTCTCAAAAGCACTGTCTAAAAAAAAAAAAAAAAAAAAACAGTTGAATTGCTACGATAAACCAACCAAATCTTAAAATCTTATAATGAAAACAAAAATGATTTCAATAATTTCTTGAACAATTTTTCTGTCAGTTCGGGCTGTCTTAGATGACTTGGTAGACTATTCCAAACGGAATATATATATATATATATGTATATATATATATATATATATATATAATATTGTCAAGAAATATTACGAATAATAAAAATAATCATAATAATATAATTATAATTAATATTAATACAATGTTTCCATCAGAAAAGTAGTGACAGTAATAAAAATAAAAATAATCATCACTATCATCACCACCACCATCATCATCATCATCATCATCATTATAATTAAAATAATTATTTTTGTAATTAATTACCATAAATAACGTTATTATGGACATAAAAACAATTAATAATAATAATAATTATTATTATTATTATGACCACAATAAAAATAATTATCATTATTATGACCATAATAAAAATAATTATCATTATTATGACCGTAATAATAATAATAATCATCATTATTATGACCGTAATAATAATAATAATAATTATTATTATTATTAATATGACCATAATAATAATAATAATAATAAAGATAATTATTATCATTATTATGACTATAACAATAAATAATAATAATAAAGATAATTATTATTATTATAGTCATAATAACAATAATTATTATTATTATGGTCAATAATAAAGATAATTATTATTATTATGGTCATAATAATAAAAATAATTATTATAATTATGACCATAATTATCTGTTCTTCATCTCCCTTCTCACCCTCTTGGTGACCCTGCCAAAGCAGAGCCCGAATATGAAGATGACGAGTACGGCTGCCACGAAGACGAACAGGAAGTAGTGGGAGGAAGGTGATGACGTCATCGCGTCGAAGACCTCTTGCAGATTGATCGGCGGCTGGATGATCTGTGTGCGTGTGTGTGTGTGAATTTTTGTGTGAATTTTTGTGTGTGTGTTTGTGTGTGAATTTTTGTGTCATTTGTGTGTGTGTGTTAGTGTGTGAATTTGAGTGTGTTTGTGTGTGTGTCTGTGAGTGGGTTAGACAGAAAGTCGGGCATTCAGTCAGACAGACAAATAAGCAGACAAACAAACAAACAGACAGACAGACAGACAAACAAACAAAAACAGACAGACAAACAAAAACAGACAGACAGACAAACAAAAACAGACAGACAGACAAACAAACAAACAAAAACAGACAGACAGAAAACCTGAGACATGGAGCTCCAGAGTTTGAACCTCGTCTTGAGTTGTTCGTCGCATTTTTCGGACAGCTTGTGAGTCTTATCCTTCTGAAAAGCCAGCAAGCACTCCAACTCTGATGATGATGATGATGATGACAGTCTTTCAACGACATCATCATCATCACCACCACCACCATTATCATCACCACCATCATCGTCATCATCAAAATCATCATCATCATCATAACTCACTCTTCCCCTCCCCTAGAGGAACGAATCCTCATCACCACCACCACCATCATCACCATCATCATCATCATAATCATCATAACCCACTCTTCCCCTCCCCCAGAGGAACGTCCCCACAGAGTCTGACGAGATCCAGGGAACAAGCGCTGTAGAGCCTGACGTCAGCATGGATATCAACCATATCCTCCTCTATCACGTGACTGATTTGCTGAAATTATAGTTGCCATAATTATAATTATAATTATTATTCTTCCCATCACTCAATAATTTACTCATTCATTCAGTCAGTCAGTCAGTCAATCGATCGATCGATCGATCAATCGATAAATCAACCAACCAACCAATCAATCACAATCAATCTTACACTCACTCACTCACTCACTCACTCACTCACTCACTCACTCACTCACTCACTCACTCACTCACTCACTCACTCACTCACTCACTCACTCAATCAATCAATCAATCAATCAATCCTTCACTCACTCACTCAATCAATCATTCACTCACTCAATCAATCAATCATTCACTCACTCAATCAATCAATCATTTACTCACTCACTCATCCAACCTTGAAGCACTTCCTATTCTTTTCCATGGTGATCAACTTCTTGAGGACGGCATCTTTCAGACAGTCCAGGACCCTCCCATTGTCAGCCTCCCCCTCATCCCCCCTCTGGCCATCAGGCTCCCCATTCGATCTTCCCAAGTTTGCCTCTTCAGAGCATAAGTTCTTTATCTGTATGGGTGGGTGAATAGATGGATGGATAGATGAATGGATGGATAAACTATTGGATGAATGAATGAATTAATGAATCAACCAACCATCCAACCAACCAACTAACCATCCAACCAATTGAACAACCAATTGAACAACCAACCAACCAACCAATCAACCAACCAACTAATCAACCAGCCAACCAACCAACCAACCAACTAACCAACCAACCAACCCACCAACCAACCATCCAACCAACCAATCTACCAACCAACCAACCAACCATCCAACCAACCAACCCACCAACCAACCAACCAACCATCCAACCAACCAACCAACCGACCAACCTCAGCGTGGCAATGCTTAACAAGTGGTATATTCATCCTATGATCCTTGGCCTCCATCCTGATGAGGTTACGTATGTGGTGGTGGCACCTGGCAGTCAACTGTGGTTTCTCCGACTGATTGGTTGATTGATTGATTGGTTAATTGATTGGTTAGTTGGTTGATAGTTGGTTAATTGATTGATTGATCGATTGACTGGTTAGTTAATTGATTGGTTGATTGAGTGACTGATTAATTGGTTAGTTGGATGTCCAGTTTATTAACCAACAACACACACACACAAGCAGGCACACATACAAACAAACACACACACACACAAACAGACACACACACACACACACAAACAGACACACACACACACGCACAAACAAACACACAACCTTCTTAACGTAAACATTCTTCAGACACTCCAGAACTTTCCCGCCATCTTCACTATCATTCTTCAGACTGCTGAACTCGCTGGGGCAATGCTTCCTGATGTCTGGCGAACAGCTTACGGACAGCTCCCTATCTAGTCTTATGTCTGGCAGGTTCGAGGTATCGCGGGAGTGTTTGCATTTTTCCATTTCGAAAGAGAGAAAGATGGAAAACAAAGAGAGAGAGAGAGAAAGAGAGAGAGAAAAAGAGAAAAAGAGAGAGAGAGAGAGAAAGAGAGAGAGAGTGAGAGAACAAGTTACGGAATAAAAAAAGTTACGAACGAACGAATTGACATCTGTAAGCTAAACTGACCAATGCCCATGACATGACTCCACTTGGCCACAGTCCTCTTGCACTTTTCATCGAACTCGCCGTCGCCAGGATCGCCGCCACCATCGCCACCGTCGTCGTCGTCGTCCTCGTCGTTCATCTTCTGCAGTAGGCAGTAGATGATGCTGTGTGGGTTCTGCTGCTGATCCGAGCAGTGTTTCTGGATGGATGGGTGGGTGAATTGATGGATGGATGGGTGGATGGATAGATGGGTGGATGGATAGATGGGTGGATGGATGAGTGAAATGATGGATGAACTGATGGATGGATTAATTGAGAGATGGATTAATTGATGGATTAATTAATTGATGAATGGATGAATTGATGGATGAATTGATGAATGAATAAATGGATGAATTAATTAATTAATTAATGATGGACGAGACAAAAATTGCACAGGCACTGCTTAAAGTCGGATGGAGGAACTGTTCAAATCCAATCTGAGATGGAATCACTAGACATGGAATCATTTTAAAGACGGCATTGCAAAGACTTGGAGCGACCAGAACAAAAAAGAGTAATGCGAAGTCGAAGGGTGCGAATGGATTTTAAATGAATTTAAAGTGAAGATTGTTGGGAGCCTCTCTCTCTCTCTCTCTCTTGGAGATGCCATTTGAAATGGGGTTTTCGTTAGCTGGCAGGCAGAATGTCTGTTTGGCTCTACCTAATCTCATTTGACACTTCATTCATTTCATTTGACACTTCACTTCAATTTAGGACTATTAAAATTATAATTAATTTTCATCTGGCCTGTTATTACATTTGTTATTACATTCATGTGTGTTAGGTCATTTTGACGAATGAATGGATGGATAGTGAATGTATCAATGGATGGATGAATGAATGAATGGATGAATTAATGAACGAATGAATAGATGAATGAATGAATTATAAATGAACGAACGAACGAATGAACGAACGAATGAATGAATGAATGTATGAATTAATTAATGGATGAATGAATGAAAGGTAGATGGGCGGTAGATGAACGAACGAACCAGCAAAATACGAATGAGTGAAAAGACGAAAGAACGAGTAGAACCCCAAAACTACCTGGATCATGTGCTGGCATTTCGTCACGAACCCATAATCATGCTTCGGGTTTACTGCCTCAATCTCCTGATGATGATGACGATGATGTTGGTGATGATGACGATGATGATGATGATGCTGATGACGATGATGGTGATGATGATGATGACTCACTTTTCTACGGAACATCTCCCTGTGGCACTTTTGAGACAACTTTTCGAAGTTATCCATTAGGCATTGAATGACCTGAATGATAGGAGGAGCAATAAAATGGATGAATGAATGAATGAATGAATGAATGAATGAATGAATGAATGAATGAGTGAATGAATGAGTGAATGGATGAATGAATAAGTGATTAAACGAATGAATGAAAGAACTAATCTCGTTAGCTCAAAGTTTTAAATAGAATAAGAAAAAGCTGGATGAATGATTGAATCAATCAATCAACCAGTCAATCAATCAATCAATCGATCGATCGATCGATCAATCAGTCAGTCAGTCAGTCAATCAATCAATCAATCAATCAATCAGTCAGTCAGTCA